GACGTCTTAGAGGTGACCTATTTACTTACAGGATCCTTAACACTTCTGGACATTCTCTTAAACACCTACTTGAGCTTAGTCCTAAAAACTAGAGACACGACATAGCAGAATAGACTGTAGACGTAACTTGTACTCCTTAAGAGTTGTCAGATGCTGGAATTCGCTGCCCGCCGAACTAGTCCAAGCGACTTCCCAGGAGTCCTTTGCTAGGCGACTGGATCTTTTATTGTTAACATACCTAGGTTCCTGCTTGGAGGTTTTGGTGATCCCCTGCTACTAGACACGGAAGCCTGAACACATGAATTAGGTGATAAGAGGCTCGCTTATCACAAGTTTCTTGCAACGATTAAGTATGTAAAACAAAGTAGCATTAGGTTCAAAAATTTATTCGAGAACTTTCATTAAGAATCGAATATGAAACAAAGGTTTAAACCAAGTTCCAGTCTAAAAGTTGCATTTGTAATGTTAAGCTGCAGTTTTTGTTGTTTTTCCAAACGAAAGGGTAAAAGAAGTAACTCGGAAAGCACTGGAAGTGGTTGTGAGATTAAAATGAACATCCAGCATCCTTTTTATAATCTGCCGTTAGTTGGGTCTCCCGTAAACAGATCCATAGGGCCATAGTTCTTAGGGCGAAACAGTTCTTAGGATCTGTGAAGACTCAGTCTTGTTGAATTCTAAATGAGAAAATAGTAGTGAATTTAGTCAGAAATGTGGAATAGATAAATAACCAAATTACATGTTTTTTAGCAAAGAATTTATGCAGTTGTGATTTACCTTTAGTTTATGAATATTAGGTCAGGTCAGCTATTACTTGTGCAAAGCATAACATGGACTTAATACCGTATCTCAATGCTTTCATTATTTTGCTCTCATTTAAGTATTACCATGTATCTGCATCTAGTTTAACAGGGAGACGTACAAGCAGAGTTAGTGTTTGATGAACTAAAAGTCCTAGTAGTCAAAAAGATTTTTAACATTTGTCCACAGCCAACTGCATTTAATTGAGATACAGAACACTCATCTTCTAAGACTGTATACTGCTCTTCTGTGGGCAAATAAAAGCTCACACACTTAGTTATCTTGCTACCGATGTTATTGCTGGGGAAATTGTTTAATGACAGTGATCATGAAATATGGTCAGTGATAGATGTACAATCTAGAAATAAACAAACATACTTATCGCTATCTTATAATGTATGACAGCAACAGTACCAAAAGCACTTTTTTCCTATTTTTAATCAGACTGATTTGAATTAGTATACTCATCAGAAATAGGCAACTCTACTTACTAAACTGATCTGTTTCGTTACAGACTTCAAGCACTATACTTAAGTATACCATAATTCTTTCAGCTAAACTGAATTATACGACAACCAAGAATACTAAACTAAGCAAGTGTCATAGTTATTGTTTCATTTGCACAGGCATATTGCTTAAAGTATTTAAATGGACATAATTAAGACTATAAAACAAAAACACGAAATGTAGGCCAATTGAACTTACCGAACGGAAGACAATTGTCTTTAAAGAATATATATATTGCTTGCCGACTGAAGACAACAGGCAGTTGTTCATAAAAACATAGTTTATAGTACAATAAACCTTTCTACAGTAAAATGATGCACTGAAAGTCTATCTGGAAACAATCAACTATGTGAATAAACTCACTATAACTTGAGATATCATCCCAGCACGCAATGGACGTGCAGTGTAACGCAGTCGGACGTGGCGAATAAAAATATAAAAAAAGATCAAAATTAGCTATATGATCTAGTTATTTAATTAAAAATACATTATGAAATGACAAAATCTGTGGTTACTTGAACGCACAGGTGACCGATACATTAAGTTTACATGGTTGCGTTGCGGATAAGATCACCCAGCAAGTGCTAACTTGGAATCCTGAGGTGGAACGGAAAAGTGGAAGGTTGAAGAACACAGTGTCGAGAATCGTAGTCAGATATGAAAAATGATGAATATTAACTGGAAACATCTAAGAAGGATTGTTTAGGACAGAGGTGGACAGAGAATACTGGTAAGTGGACTATGCTCACTTACCAGGTTCTACTACGGTAAAAGTTCAGAAAACGGTCGCACAGTGCTAAAAATATCACGTTAAAATATGAATCATATATCTTCAATGTAACTCTTGGTAACGACTCTGTGTCTTAAGAGTAATAATGCGTGGCCGATTTATATCGATTTCATAAAACAATCTGTCTAAAAGTTAATTTCGTGTTGAACGACACAGAATTGGATGCCTGTACCTATGAATATCTTACGAGAGACGTAGATAGATGTGTTCTGTGACTTTTATGTTAATATATCGCGTACATTTACACAGTGAGCGTACATATCAAGTTGATGGTGACTTTTTAAGCCTACCTGCTTAAAGTTGTCCCATACATCTGACATTTCCAAACGATTGGAATTCCAACGCCAGTTGTTAATGGGTTGTTTTAAGTCATTTATGTTGATAACATTGAAAGTGATCGTTTTTGTCATGACATCCAAGACTAAAACTTTGTCAGTTAGGAATTCTTTGTCCGTAAATATTCAGTCTATGCATGACAGATACTGCTGTTTCTGACTTAACATTTGCGAATAAAACCAAATCCTCAATCTGTTCAAACAATATAAAACCGAGCAAAAGTTATAAAAAATAATCAAAACTACTTTGAAATTGCCAATGATGATTGTTTCTTTGTTGTGCTGCCGTTTGTTTTTATGTAGCATCTAAAATTTACCACAGCCATAATTTCAAAATATTGACCAATCGTATTTGAGTTGGGTACAGCTGATTCAAGGTCACAAAGGTCTCCTATTTACAACCCTTCTTTGTGAGTTCATTCTTGCATTTTCTAGTTTTCAATTCATGTTACACAAAATCTGAGAAACAAGGTTCCTTCTGATATCATTGGTTTCTCTCCTTTACTAGTTTCGTAAGATAAGATTATGTAAACTTGGTGATAACAAGTATGCATTTCTGTCATCTTTAATCCCTCTCATTATTTTGATCCGGAGAAATGTTTTTTACGAATCAGGTGATAACTTTTATCATGTTGTTTTATTTCTTGGTGCTTGACATCTTCCCTGAGGTTTTTTCCAACTTAACTCCACTTGTAAAGAAGACTTCGTTCTAACCACAATCTTTTTATCTGAATATAACGTCATGTCTGTTATTTGGCGGTAGGGCACATCTTCCCAGTGAGGAGTGTGACAGCCGTTCTTTGGTGGAGATATCAAGGGATCTTTAATAAATAAGGAATCAAAGCTGCAAACTATTCCACAAAATACTTGTCACAACGCTGTGAATAATATTTGTTTCTTTCAAGTTTTTACTTCAGAGCATATTCGGTCTCTTCCTACGTGGATGATAGGTTTATTAGCTTGTCTTGAACCTCACCGCTCGCATCTCTATGTTCATCTAATTTTCTTCCTAAATAATTCATTAGTCATAGATGTTTCGTTTTCTCTGTTAGAAATTTCTCGTTGTTGACCACTTAGAAAGACAAATGGGGTCACATTCTGTGTTAATACGATAATGGTTTCCAGACCCACTACGACTGCTTCACAGTCGAGTAGTTCTAGAGAAAGGGGAAGTTTGTAAATCTTAGCATTCAAATTATTGTACTGTATCACTTTGTATTCTACGACACCACAAAAAAACATCTTGGGGTTCAAATACCTTCTTATAAAAGACGTTGAGATGTCCTACGACGGACGTAATACTTAAGCTATAAACTATGAGACTTGAATGAAATATGGACTAGATGCGTGGTTGAAATTGTATCAATAAAGTTTCACGTTTGTATAGTGTATGACCATTACCATGTCTGTGCCCAAATATTTGAAGGCTGTGAAAAGTGCTTACATCAAATGAATCATCCAGTTATCCGCTAAATCGTATTATTCTGTCTTTTTCAAGTCATGCCTTGCGATTACTCTTCACTCGTTTCTTCATAAACCACATGGCAGTGGTGTCCAATGTATGATGCATTGGTAACAAGTGTTAGTCTGTAAAACCGGTCTATAATTAGTTTTTGAGCATCAAATCATCAACAATCTAAATAATTAATTCTAATCAGATTAAGTCTCTGCTAGAGATTTGGGAAAGTATTTCTCTAAATCTTTCACAATAGAGCAGCTGTATTTAATCTTTATCGTTCTCTCAATCTTGAATTCCATTGTTTTGTTAAATATGCATTCGTTTCAATTACATCTAATTTACTCATACGTTCTGTCTCCTGTCTCAAAGATAGTCCTCTATCTTAGGTCGGTCACTCGATACTTTCACTATTTGGAAATGTCTTGTAAATGTGCGTTCAAAAATTAATAACCAACCTGTCGTTAACCTACGAAGCCATAACCAACTACAAACCAAAGCTGTAACATGCGAACTGCACGGTTGTTTACCACCCACTTTGTCTTGGAATACTCTCCTACATAGAAGTAGGTTGACCAGATCTATACGTGCGACCGATCTACATAATCACTGACTAATAGACTGCGTCATGGTATTAACGCAGGCTTCGTCGTTGGAAGTTTTGTAATAGTCGTAATATATAGTTAGAAATGCCACGTTATATGGTCTAAAATCAATTTTGATGCAAGTAATAGTAATAATACAGATGGACATATTATTTATCCCCCTCTTCATCTAAACTTCTGCGTCGTTAAGTACGTTTCATTCTTTGGTCTCGACTTTTGGTTTTGAACGACATTTCTGGTGCATATACCATTAAACGGTTGGTATTATTGAACTCTTCTACTTTTCGTTTTGTTGATTTTCTGTCGATGCCCTGATGTAACTTGGATTATTGCACAAACCCTATTTGTTTCCGTTTTTTATGATTAAATTACAAATGCACACTTTTCAAACATATTTAATTGGATTTTGGTTTCTATATTTGATAAACACAAATAAATAAATTTATCATGCTTTTAGGTAAAATATATTGATCCCATTTTGCAGAAACAATTATTTGTCACTTCTAACCATGATGAAAGCCTGGCAATTAGTCGATATTAATGGTGAGGTGATCAATGAAGAAGATATTTCAAGTGTTGGTATGTTTAACACTCTTTTTTCGATATTTGTTTTCTTTTTTTCTTGGTAAATATAAAAATCTCTTGTGCCTTAGCTGTTACTAACCTGATATGACTTTCCTGATCATTTTTCACCCATTGGTCTGTGTTTTCTTATGAGGTAATGCATATATTTTGGCGAGTTGTCTTAAGGGCAAAGCTAATGTTGACATCCGATTGTTTATTATGTTTAAATATTTCACATTTCTGATGAATTCCCACAAGCGGTCTTATATGAGATAAATATACAATGTAAAAGAGAAGTGCACTAAATCGTATGGTTACTGAGTACTAGGATAACTCAGATGTACTAAAATGTTTTGTATTATCAGGAAGTTTTGCAGAAACATGAACGACAGAATATCCGTACACTCATTTTTATTGTTCGTATAAGGTTTTCTGTTGGGTAATGTCTTATCCTTATATCTTTTTTAAACTTTGGTAAGCCTGTATTATGATAAGTGTTTAATGTGTCAGTATCTTATACACTAAGTGTTGTTTTGAACTGTGCTATTCGCCCACAATCCAATACTCAGATTTCAGTCTGAATGAAAAGTTTGACTGGAGGTGAACAGGAAACCCTGGACCTAGGTTGCGTACTGCTTGGCACTCATCAGCATGGTGTACCTGTAATCTTGAGGGAACTGATGCTCCCTGACAGATTCGATCCCGTGTCATCGATTCTATACTGAATGAAAAGTGTCAAATCGCAGCCTTTCGCATCAACACTAATTATCCCACGCGACCTCTTAATAGGCTGTATAATCGAACTAAAAAGGCACTTAAATAGTATTCGAATCTTGTTTATCTTTTTTAAACAGACTACTGAACTTCCACTTACAAATTGCTATGAGATCTGTTGGTATTGGGACATGATAAGATTTATAACCTGAAATCCTTATCATATTACAGTTTAACGTGTGAATTTTTAACTTATACAAAACTTGTATCAGTCTCTCTTTCTTACTATTTCTTCAACTTATCAGTGTACAAGCAAACGAGCAGTTTCATTTAATGTGAATAAAAAGAGTTTAAGTTTGATCGTTTGTCGATTTACCATCTCATAGTCTCCAAAGCAAGTTAGTTGTATCGCTTAGTAGTTCGTTATTTACAATATAAGATGACCTGATTGCCATTAATTGTTCTGTATTTTCTACTGCATAAATATTGCAACAGATAATATGACCAGTAATTAAACAGTTTTAGGAACTATATTGTTGCTTTATGCCGTAGTAAACATCCCAATAGTATGTAATAGATTGTTTATTTGCACTATTTGCAATAACTAATCACAATTACACACCGAAACAGGTGAGCTTTTAATTTCATGCAACCTAGCAGCTAAAACTAGATTTCAGGTTTTTAATTATATATTTTATTCCATTGCGTCAAAAATATTGCATAATATTGTTTCAACTATTTTACATCGAATAAAATTATATGTCATTATCTTTAACATAGTTTTCATGGTAGTTCAAACATTCATTTCAGTATTTTAGAGTTGACTATTATAAATTGGTACTGATTAGTTTTTGTGTTATACAATGAACAATGCAAAGCTAGAGTTCAATACACAAATTGTGGGAATTTTTAAATGAAATCCTAAAAAAAAACACGAGAGGTGGGTTAAAATTTGTCATTAGTTAGTGCAGCTAGCGTATGACTACCCTAGTAATTACAGTCACTATGCAATACAAAACAACATTTTGCCTGTGAGAAATGTCATCTTAAACTTTGTGACTTACTGATAACATGTAGATTATTTCATCACTTAAAATAAGAGAGTTCATCAATATTTCTTCTCTGATGGAATTTTAATTCAACAGTTTAGAAACTTTTCAGTTGCGTATTCGAAATTCATTTTACCTCATAAAACTGCGAAATAATTGTTAGATTTACTCATGATTTGACAGAGTAATTCATCATATGAACTTGTGTGAACTTAGACTCTGATTTCCTCCCTACATCTGTTTAAACAAACGGGTACTATATTTTGTTTCTCACACAAACTGTAAATGAAAATCAAGTATAGGGTTTCGGATAAATATTGAGCTGATAGGTTATATTATAATTATGTTTTTTTTTTGCAGAAAAATTTCATGTATGTGATCATAAGGAAGTAATCTAATTCTAAATAAGAACCATATTAAACTCTTTAGTGTTGTATTTGTCTGCAATGTTAAATAATTTGATTTAAAGTATGTAAAAAGATATTTACTATTTGAAAACTGACGATATTTCTTGTTGATGAATTCTAAAATCCTCATAACTGTTAGATAATACAATTTTAATAAAACTATTAATAAATGTAAAGTAGATTGTAAGATTTGATTGTTAGTTGGTACACTCTTTATAACGTCCTTTCAATTATTTACTTAGTTTGGAAATAATTAACAAACCAAATTATCAATTACTTTTAATTCTCACACCATATGATTACTGAATGGTAAAATAGTTTAATTTTTTTTATTTATTTGACTGTATTCAAATCGATCTTCGTACAATATGTACATGATATACGTTACTACATGTATATGTACGTATATTGTTTCTTTTAGTGGTACTTTATTTTCAGTATGTGTGTGTGTGTGTTTACCGACGAGCGATGATACCATGTTGATAGTTAAAAAAAAACTGACTAGACTTTGTTATTAGTTTTTGTTTTGCCGATTTCTTAATCAAACGTCTCTTTAAATTTGTCTAGTTTGATGATATAAAAATATTCAAGGATAAGTGTTAAAGCGTAGAGAATAACAGTTTATTGTTTCTGCCATAATGTTATTGGAGTAGATGCTTGTTTTTAGTGTCCTTGTAAAAAGCGTTGAAAATAGTTATAATCATGGAAACATTAATGGTATTTGTCGGCTTTTTTCAATCTATAAATTGTTTGTAATGTTACAAGAAATCTATTATGTTACGAGTTTTCAAAATGTTAGAATTGAGAGTTATATTGAATTTGTGATTATGTTTGTGAAGTGCTAAATGATTGTAATAACTTGACATCATAAAGTTGGTCATATCCACATTAAGCTTTATATGTATTTTTAGGACTTACTACTAGCGGAGTATATTATACGAGTAATAATGCATACTGAAACATCTTAGTTTCGCTTAAGTTTTATATTCACAGTACTATACAGAACATCGGAAGTTTTAATAATTATTTGCTTTCAAATAACCAATTACTGAATTGTTTAGATTATTAAACATCAAAGAAATTCTTAATTAGATCAATCTTTTGTTCACACACTCACTTTGTTTTTTTTTTTTTGATTTTTTAATCAAAAGTTTACAGATTTAATGATCGAATTTCTTTTTTTTTCTTCTTCTTTTTTGAGACGAATTATCATTCCTTTTATAATCAATATTTGATTTCCCTGATCTAATCGATTTCGCAAAACTTTACTTCACTCGGTACTATTCAATTATTTTTTCTTGAAAGGAAATCATATGATTCGTGACAAATGTACTGTCATATGATCATATACACAATTAATGTGATGTTAGAAATGTGTCGATTTTATAATTTTTTTTAGCCTTTAGCTTACTATCGATCGATCTTTTTTATCCAATATTTGTGTACATGTGTATATAATATATACAAACACATATACGACAGTATAACCATTTGACATACTGTACTTTCTAGTTTTATAGGACAGTAGCATTACATAATTATATAGATACATGTAATGGAAAACAGCATTTGTGATACATAGTTCAGAAGATTTTGACTGAATGAAATTTCCTGATTCTTTATCTTCCTCTTCTGTTTGTTTATTTCACACAGTTGGATGAATTACTTGGTCAATATCACTAGAAAAATGTAATAGCTGCTGGTAAAAGTACTGATTTCCTTATTATTACTTAAACATGTTTAATTGCCACACTATGTATGGATCATATGATAGGTATAATTCTGTAACACAGAATTATGCTAGGCTGTTTGAGTTCTTGTAAATCTTGGAAGAAGTTCTCATTAATAGTCGATATGAGTTGAAAAATGAACCATACGTAAAATTTTTTTTTGGGGGGGGATTAAAATAGTGTTCATTCTCCTTATTGCATTAAGCAAGTATAGAGTGTCATGACCGTTTACACAGTAAACGTTCCACGTTATAGAATGCAACAAGTAACATGAATGATAGACAATGATATGTATTGTGCAATAAGTGATTAGAGTCAACATCTTGCTTTCACGTTTGATAGAATTATTATTTTCATTTAATAAACTGAATTATATATGTATTAGCTTAGAAGTGAAAAAGAAAACGGAATTTCTCTCAAATTAGTGATTTTATTCCGGATTCAATTATTCATTTATTATTTAACAGTCATGTGATCATTTTTCCACCCTCTATTCTTTATTACCACGATAATGTGACTTCCATTCACATTTTACTGGATTTATTTGTATAAAATTATTAAATTATCGATTGTTCCACATAATGAAAAGGAAGTGGATTATTCTGATCCTAAATAATGCGAAAACAACAATTGACACAGAAACAGTGATAATATTTGTCATTTTTGAATTGATCAGTTATTATTGTTTTATGATCATGTTTTTCGGCTTATAGGTTATTTTCCAAATTCTGTTCATATCTAAATAAGCAAATCATTTTATGATCACTAGTGATCGGCAGAAGATCCTAGACCATGATTTTATGCTAATTAATCCTCCTTCATCCTCTGTGCTTATCTACATCAAAAATGCTAATTTTGTTCTTCCATCGCCAAATTTAGCAGTTTTTATCATTGATGTATGCATACCAAGACAATAGTTTATACAACTAGATCAAGGACATTAATCAATCCTTAAAAAAAACTGTTACCTGTGTGATTTATTTCATTTTTTTCTCGAGTCAATTGAATTTTAAGGAGTACAATTGTACTGCTTTTTTTCAAGCTATGTAGTTCGATGATCCAGTAGAATGTAATTACCGTCACAATATACTAACTATTCAGTGAATAAAACCAAG